CCAGGCCTGCTCCCCTCTCCCAGCTCACCCTCCAGAGCCGGTGCGGCGGGGCCCCCACACAGCCCGGGCGGTGTCACTGCGGTGCGCAAAGCTGCCGGGCACCGGAGGAGGGGAGGCTGCGCTGCCAGGGGCGGGGCGCACGCCTGTGACCCAGCGCTCCGGGAGGCTGAGGCAGGAGGCTTTAGGGTTGAGGCCAGCTTGGGAAACTTAGGGAGGCTGTGCCCTAAAATAAAATGGAACAGGGGCCGAGGATGTAGCTTAGTGCAGGCCCTGGGTTCAGTCTCCATTGCGTGAGGGAGAGAGAGCGTGAGGGAGAGAGAGAGCGGAGTTGGAGGACAAACTGGGTCTGGATAAAGGATCGGCCCTGAACATTGCTTTGCAGAGAGCCAGGCTGCTTGTTATGTAATTTTTACCGAAGCCCTAGGGCTAAGAACTAAGGCAGTAATCCTGGTGGTATATTGGTACATAAAACACTCTAATCAAGCAGCACCCAAAATAGAACAAGAACAGTGTGAGATACAAGTAGCCCTGTGAGAAGTAGGATTTGAAATCCTGCCTACGTCAGCTCCTTCAAAAGAAACGCCTTTGACCACCACGCTGTTGAAGGGAGCACACGTGTAAATCGGGTGACAGGAGTCCGCTCCACTCAGCCACGTGTATAGAACAGAGAAATTATTATGTGACAGACAGGCTGCTCTCTCATGGCTTACGACCAAAACTATGTTTTTAAAAGTTGAGGGTTTTTATGACAGAGATAACATAATAAATCCCCAAACCTCTTAACACTGCACTGTTACTACAACATACTAAAAACTCTGTGCCAGGTGTGGTACATGCAAGTTTGAGGCCAGCCTGAACTACGCAGGAGAGGACTTTGTCTCAAAAGCTTGAAACAACAGCAACAAAGATCGTAGCATCAATGCACCAAAGGAGTCTCATACTAATTGCTTAAGCACGTGTTCCAGAGAATCAGCCGGCTTCATTCACTGCCTCGAATACTGTTTATATTATTACAGCACGCAAGCCTTTAATTACAGCTCTAGTGCATTTAGGAATTTAATTTTCAGTAAACGCCAGGCAAGCCTGGATCCAGGGCCGTAGCACTGTCAGGAGGGAGAAAGAGTCTGTGTGCTTCTAGCTGGGGACACGGCTGCCCTGAGGCTGCAGGGTGCAGCACGGCTCCTGGATGAGAGGGCTGAGCCTGGCCAGGACCCCGGAGCAACGCTGGCCGGCCCTTGCCTGAGTGGTGGACTTGGTCCCCAGCCCGGAGGCCTCTCTCCGGCGCTGATCGCCCATGGCCGCCCAAGTCCTCCAGCGCCCTGCGCCCTGCTTCCACACTGGGCCAGGCAGCTGCTCCATTCTCCAGCTCCCATCACCTTCAAGGACTGGGCTGAAGACCGACGCCTGCCCGGCTCAGGCTCACCGCATGCTGCCCGCCGCCCCCGCCCGCCTGGCTCAGCCTTCAGGTCCCTCAGAGGCCTCCTGTGGGTCTGGACTCAAAGCTGGGACTCAGCGGCCACAGTCCCGGGGGGCCACCGTTGGACCCGTGCTTGGTAAAACACTGCTTCCTGGGCTCAGGAGGGCAGACAGTGAGACACCAGCTCACAGGGACGTAGGTGGGACCCAGAGGTTGAGGCCCAGCCAGCTGCTGAGGACGTCTTCCCTTCTGCCCAGTGTGATCAGGCCGCCCGGCGCTGTGGACAGCAGTGGCAGCCGACAGGGCCGGACACAGGTGCTCTGTGGACGGCTTCACATTCAGGAGGGAGATGTCCTACCTTGTGACCAGTTTTCTGGGTCAGGTTGGGCCAGATTAGGTTGTGCATCCCCCTACAGCCACCAGGATGTGCTACTTGGCTCACGGTTGGACCAGCAGGGGACCTGGGGGGATTGGAGCCAGCATCTGCATGGTCATTGGCATTCCTGCAACCACAGGGCGGGGTTGGGCTGTGTGGCTCAGCCCCGAGCTTGCCTTGCCTGGCACAGTGTGTTTGTCAGGGGTGAAGGAGAGGGGAGAATGGAGAAAGCAGTTTCGAGGCCACTGATTCAGCGGAGCTGTAGACAGAGGCTTGCAAGCAGCCCCGCAAACACATGTGTGCACACGCAGGAAGGTGAGAGATGCGTGGGAGGGACACAGTTCAGGCAGACATGAGCCTTGGTGATTGCCAGGTGGGAGGTGGAGAATTCCACGCCAACTCTGAGACTGTGAGCTGGGACCAGAGACGCTGGGCCTTGCTCCCAGCCTCCTGGCTTTCTTTGGATTCAGTGCTCGGCCGCCCCAGGCAGACAGGAAGGAGAGCAGCTCAGACAGAGGCCAGGCGACACCCAAAAACCTGACAGGTCTCCCGGGTCTGGGGAAGGTCGTCAGAGGAAGGCCCGCTCCCCGAAGCAAGGCTCTTTCCTCGGCTTCCCTGGGAGAGGAAGTTCAAATTATAGGAAAAACTCCCTCTCTGGGGGAGGGAGCAGCAGTGAGTCAGAAAGTGAGAAACATGAAATTTAAGGAGAAAACAAAACCCCCAATTTAAAGACTCAGTCCAAAAATGGGCATCTGAAATGAACAGACTCTTCTCAGACGAAGTAGTAGAAGCAGCCAATAACTATATGAAAAAATGTTCAGCATCACTGGTCATTTGAGAGATGCAAATGAAAACAATACTGAAATTCCACCTCACTCCAGAAAGAATGGCTGCTACCAAGGAATCAACCAATAACAAATGCTGGAAGGGGTGTGGGGAAAGAGGAACCCTGCTCCACTGCTGGTGGGAGTGTAGACTGGTACAACCACTGTGGAAATCAGCATGGAGATACCTCAAAGAACTAGGGCTAGACGTCCCATTTGACACAGTTATACCTCTTCTTGGTATCTTCCTGAAAGAATTACAAGCATCATATCACAGTGATATATGTACACCCATGTTTATAGCAGCACAGTTTGTAACAGCTCAAGCTTGGAAACAGCCCAAATGCCCATCAACCAATGAATGGATAAAGAAGACGTGGTTTTTTATACAATGGAGTATTACTCTGCCATAAAGGATGAGCTTCAGACATTTCTAGCTAAATGGGTGGACCTTGAGACCATATGCTTAAGTGAAATAAATAGGACACACATTTAAATTCTGCACTGTTTCTCTGGTGTGAGAATCTGAAAGAGGAAATAAGGACTAAAATATCTAATAGGTATTGGGAAATGGGAAGAAAATGTTCAAATGGGAAGGGGAACAAGGGAGGAAGGAGGGAGAAAGGAAGGAAGCGACAGGAAAAGAAAGTGAAAATAGAAGGAAAAATGGAAACAAAGCTTCTGTACCTAGGGCGGGAGGGGAATGGGAAAAGGCGCGGGGTGGACCATGCACAGGTGCAAATGCCGTATGATGAGTGTTAGCATTGGGCATGCCTAGAATGACCAATAAATGTTGTTCTCTAAAAACAGCGATGAAATTAAGGGTTAGTGAAGTGGCCAGTTGATGAGAAGTTGGAGGAGACCCAGAGACATCTCCAGATCCCTGCGTATGTGGGCCCAGCCCCTTAGTTATGAGTGGACCACCTCACAAAGTGGGAGGCGAGGGGCATGGAAACAGCTTTCAATTTGAAGTTTTTAAATTTTCTAACTGAAAAATTAGGGCGCCGAAGGCTCTGCGGTTGGGCTGAGTGGAGAGGAATGCACGCAGGAATTGGCCGATCGACTCTGGGATGCCTGCGGGCAGAGGGCCTTACGAGGTCGTGGGAGGCTCTCAAATTTGCGCTTTACTCAGGTGCCACTGAGCACTCAGATTACATCAAAGGAGCAACAACCGCAACTACCTTACAGCTCCAAAGTTCAGGGTTAGACCTATCTGCAAAGTGTGGGACATACCTGGTGAGGACCCCGGCCTGCACCGACGGGGAAACTCCTGTTCTCTGCGGCGTGGCCTGCGACCCCGAGCTCTGACAGGCGACAGCGCTGCAGGCGTGGGGTGTGGGGTGGCTGGAGACGGGAGGACACCGCCCACCGCCGGGCTGCTCCAGGGGCCCTGTGGCCAGTGTTTCTCACATACTGCTATCCAGCAGCAAGGGGACAGTACTGCCCACCTCAGTTTCCCAGGGCAACAATAAGGAAACACCATTGTCTGCTGCTCAATGTTTACACTGACACGGAGCGCTTTCCCAAGAAGACACGCGTCACTTTATTTTTATTTTCTGCTGGTGCTGGGGATTGGGCCCAGGGCCCTTACAGGCCCCAGAGAGTCTTGCTGATTTGCTAATTTGCCCAGGCTGGGCTTCAACTTTCCACCCTCCTGCCTCAGCCTCTCCGAGTGCTGGGATTGACAGGCACATCACTAAGCTTGGCTAGATCAAAACTCCAACCCAAACTTCACAAACCTGTGAACGCTCCACTGGGTCTTTCCAACTCAGGTCTAATTCCTTGCTCAGGTGTAAGCATTCAGTTACTTCCCTCTGGAGTGCAGGATAGAGTTTTGCAAAAGACGCAAGTGAATTTCTCTTCCTGGGTCTCAGTGGACTGCACATATTTTGTTTCTAAACTCTTCCGAGCTTTGTGCTTCTTTTAAGTACTATTTCCACTCCGATCCTCCCACTCTCCTCAACTAAGAGCTTAGCTTTAGAGCCAGTGTGGTGGTGCACACCTGTGATCCCAGGACCCAGAAGCCTGAGGCGGGAGGATTGCCACAAGTTCAAGGTCAGGCTGGGCTACTGAGTGTGGTCCTGTCTCAAAAGACCAAAAAATAAAAATAATTTAAACAATCAGTTAGCTTTGTAACACAGAGATGCTTACCTTCAGGGCAAAAACCATAGTGTCCACGGAGTTTCTGGTTCTGGGATGACAGGGAACCCTTCCAACCCTTCCAGGGTAGAAACGACTATTTAACATCAACAACACATATTCAGCCGTGCAGGAAGGGGGCGCTGTGTTCCACACATCTTAAATGCTCACTTTGCAATGGCACTGGCCCATGGCATGGAGAGATCCTGGCTTCGGTGCAAACAGAGAAGCGGCCTCTGAGAACTCACACTGCAACTGACTGCTGCATACAGTTTATTCCACTAGACTGCAGTTTTATACACAGTAGGAGGGGTTTCCGGAGAGCACATACATAGATCACGTCCTGTACTGCTCAAGGACCAGTTTTTTACATTATATCATAATACCCTATCATTAAAACATTATTCAGTGAATTTTTTTCCCCAACTACATATAAATGGAGGTTTACCACACGCACGGTGCAAGAATGTCTTTATAACATATTTGAGTCACAAGATGTGAATATAGAGCACATCACTGTAATCAGAAACTACTTTAAAATCAGTGCCAGGGCGCGGCAGCCAGATGTGGTTGGTCCTTGCCTGAGCCGGAAGCAGTTTGGTGGATGACTTCCTGGATACCTGGCAGCAGCTTTTCACTATGATTTCAAAAGAAATCTTTAATTAAGAACCCAAATTTAACAATTTTAAAACACCTTCCCTTTTGTGTTCAATCCTCAGAAACGGGACATTTTAAAACGCCTCGTCTTTAAAACAAGGAGAATAAATCCAACCCCCCTTAGGGGAAGGCTGGGGCTGGGGTTTACATTTTGCTGAAACCTAAGAGGGCGAGAATGGGAAGTGTGGACAAAGGACAAAGAAGCGGGACATCTCTTCAGACTGCTGGGACTCCTCCCTCGGCCCGGCTCCGAGAACAGCACTGCGTTATGGATCGTTTCCGGGGAACTCAGGACAAGTCAGACAGCGAGCTTTCTGCATCTCCACTCTGTGGAGCAGCGGCTGAGGACGACTTAAATAAGAAGCGGAAACCCGAAGCACAGGCCTGCTCGGCACACACAACAGTGGCACCGCTGTGGACATCTCGCCTGTTTCCTTGCCTTTGCCCCGAAGTCCGAGTGTTTGAAAAGTTCAATAAATAGTAGAAAAATAATCCTTTACTTAGAAATTCTGAGATGCATCGTCGTCGCGGCTGGGTGTGAGTCCCACACAGCGGTGGAGGGACACACGGCTCCGGCGGTCACCGGCCAGTGCTGCTCTCGGGCTGGGACTCGTGCCCTCTTCTGGTTGAGGGCCGCGCTGGCTCCTGGACACTGCCTGCCTCATCCTCACCTAGCCCCGGCTCTGTCTGAGGGGCCCGATAGGCCAGCTCGGCGCCCTCCCCCGCGGGGCTCTGTCCTCTCCCCGACAGCACGTGTGCACAGGCAGAAGTGAGTCCCCAGCACATGCGCTGGCACGGGTTCGGGGTCTCCCGCGGCGGCCTGACCCCGCGCCCGCCGAGGTCAGCACTCGGCGTCCACGCTGTGAACTGTCACGGCCGCCTGCAGGTGGTGGCTGTGGTGCAGGGGCGCGTGGTGCGGGCGGCAGTGGTGGGGCTTGTGGCTCAGCAGCGCTGCGGTCTGCGGCGGGGCGTCCATGTCCAGCTCTTCATCGTGGTTGCCGACGTCCACACCGGCGGACAAGGGGTCGCTGCTGCAGGGCGGATTCTCGCTGTCCTCCTGGGGGCTCATGGTGCTGTAGCCTAGGGAGAGGACAAAGTGTTCCGGTGAGGGCATGGGAGTGGAGGGGCGCTCAGCGCGGAGGTCAGGCATCCCGGGGTGCGTCTGACTGACACGCGCAGAGCACACATTCGCACGCTGTCAGCGGGTGCCAAGAAACGCGTTTTGTTTTTTTTTTTTGGTACCAGGGATCCAACTCAGGTCCTTGCGCTTGCGCAACAGGGGTTGAAACCACTGAGCCAAATCCCTGGCCCAAGAAGCTCATTTTTAAAGAGATCTAGAGTCAACAGGTTTTCCCTAAAAACTACTACATCATGACTGCTGAATTTTTTGTGTTTTGTTTTTTGAGACAGTGTCTCACTATTGTAGTTCCGGCTGGCCTTGAATTCACAGTGATCCTCCTGTCTCAGCCTCCCCACTGCTGGGATTACAGGTGTGTGTCACCACGCCTGGGTGTATAATCATGTTAGACGGTTGAGAAAGGATTCAGAACAAAAGAAACCAAAACCCTCACTCCAGATCCCCAAGCCAACACAACAAACTGGAAGCCATCCTTCCTAGTCGGTTTTCCTCAGAGCCAGGACGGCCACTGGGGAGCTGTCCTCTGCCCGTGTTCCTGAAGTCACAATGAAGACTTTCTCTAGGGTCTGAGAAGAAATCCAGGGTTGTCAACAGGCAGCTTCAAGAGAAAGCCCTGAGCAGGATCCGGGTCTGATGGGGCCGCTGCGTGGAGCGCCCACCGGAACGCCAGGAAGGACGGGGGCGGAGGTGACGGCCACCACGTGCCCAGCTGCCGTGTGACGTCAGGGGCCCGTGTGGCGCCCCCTCCGCTGGGAGGACGTGAGAGGGCGGGCATCCCTGGCGGCAGACTCGCCTCCTCTGGGTTCTGAGGAACGCACTGCTCACGGGGAGGTGCCCGGCCCTGCGCGGTTTTCAGTCCCAGAATCCCCACCTGTGTGGGGAATGGCAGCAGCTGACATGGCCTCTGTGCTCACGGCCCTGGCGCACCCGGGAAGGCGTGACGCCGATGCACAGGCGAGGGCCGGGGTGAGGACAGGGGGGGCCCGACCCACCCGACCACCGCTCAGCAGCCGGGCAACGCAACAGGTACTTCAGGAACCTGTGGGAACCTTGCAGGGGTGAGACACCAGGGCGCACACCCGGTCCTGGAGGGCAGAGGCACCGGAGGGAGGAGCTGAACCAGCACAGCCCTCGAGGACTCGCTGCTGCAGGGCACAGGGACGGGAGAGGACATCGGGAAAACAGAGAGCACTGCCCCTTCTGTGATGCCCAGACCGCGGACTCGAGGTGGACGCTCAGCGCGGGGCTTGGTCTCACGGGTTTCATGGCAAAGGCATAATCGAGGGACAGAGAAGGAAGAGCTAATTCCGGCTGCAGGAGCAAAGAAGCACCACCGATTCTTATTTCAGCTGGGCTCATGTGGATGAATAGGAGTTTGGTGGGTAGGGAGAATGGAGGAACGAGGCCAGCCCACGCAGGAGCACGGAGAGAGAGGCCACCCCTATGCTGTGGCTCGGAGGTCAGTGACGGAGCCTGGCGTGCCGTGCAGTGTGCCGGGCTGCGACATCCTCAGATAAGGTCAGTTTCCAGGTCTAGGGGCTGGGAAGTAGTGACGCCATCACCGGGGGTGAAGAGACGGGAGCCAGAAGACGCCTCCCGGCATTGGCAGTGCTGAGTCTCGAAGGCGAAGTTGGTCACCAGGCTCTTGGTCCTCAGTAGCCACGAACTGCGTGCAGTGCAGCCACTGGAGACAGAGTTCTGCTAAGTGACCAAGGTGCCCAGGCTAGGTTCGAACTCGTGATCCTCCTGCCTGGGCCACCGGAGTGCCGGGATTCCAGGCCTGTGCCACTGTGGCTGGCTGTCAGTGAACTGTGTTATTAGTGGCTTCACTGGCGTGATGTCCCCTCATCTTATCTGCTGAGGAAGCCATGCAAGTGGTCGGTCACAGGGCTCCGCCCAGGTGCCTGAGTGGGCTCCCCAGGCCTGCGGCTGCTCTGGGGCCATGATGGTGCAGCTGTCTCCAAGGGAGCCTGGGGCCCCTCGCTTCTTGTTACTGGTCTCGGATGTGAACCCCAGCAGGGCTACCCCGAAGGGAACCCTCATTCTGCAGCTTTCACTTCACTTCCTCACCGCAAACCTATTGCTCAATCCCTCTGCAATTTTTGACTTCAAGATCTGCAAATCTGAAGGCAGAGGGAATGGGGGGTGGCCAGTTGGAGAGGAGCAGGAGAAAGACAGATGCATTTTCTCACGCTGCACACTGGCCGTCTGCTCAGTGGAGACATCAGCGGCCTGACTCTGGGGAGGATGCACTATTAAAACGCAGAGGTATGCTGACACTGCCAAAGGCGTATGGGGACAGTCTAAGGGAGACACAGGCTCCAGGAGAGAGGCCGGGCGTCCATAAAGGAGCACAGAGCTCCCTCGGATTAGGCATTTATGCTTTGGCTTTCTGCTTATTTTTTTATTTATCTGACGGTTGCCAGGAAACCGGCAAGCGGCAAGGTCCCTCCCAGGACTCATGCGCCATCTACTGGCCACAGCGAGCACCTGCAGGAAGGTCTGGCACCTTTAACAAATGGCTGAAGTTCTTCGGAATTGGCCGAGAACTAGGGAAATTCCCTTCTTCGAAGGAAAAATGTTGCTCAGCATACATTTGCAGAGAGTTTCTGTGTTCTTGTGCAGTGCTGGGGTCATTCGTGCTGGGTAAGTCCTCTCCTCATCCACCGAGCTCCCTCCCGCCTGCCCGGGTTTCTGAGGTGTGCTCCAAATGTTCTCCACCAGGCACAGAGGAATGCGCGTTGATGCTTGTCAACTTAAAAACGACAAGTTTGAAGAGTAGCTTTTCCTTACTTTATTTCTTGCAGTGCCAGGGCTGGAACCCAGGGCCTTGTGCATTCTAGGCAAGCTCTCCACCACAAAGCTACAGTCCCAGTCCAAGAAGTTTTTCTTCTAAGATACCAAAGTTAAAATTAGATTCCTTTAAGTACAAAACTCTACTGGCTACCTTAAATATTTCTAAAGATAAGTAAAACTGCAGCCTGAAGGCTGCACATTAGCTTGGCTACATTCCACTTTAATTCTGGGGACACAGCAGCCTGGGCCTGCTGTGTGCACGCTTGTTTGCTTTTGTGCGTCATGGGCAGGCAGGGAGTCCACCTGGGCAGCGTGATGCCAGCCCCAGGGGCTGCCAGGATCCACTCCTGATAGAGGCGACCCCATCCCCTTCTATCTGCTCCACCAGGCAAGCTGCCGCAGTCCTCCTTTCATGGGCTCAGGAATCCATGCACTCATTATGGTTTCCTCCTAGACTGTAAATTCCTCCAGGGCAGAGAGGCAGGAAGCCGAAGAGGTTACCCTGGGCTCTGCATTATTTCATTTAATCCTCATGACTTCACCACGGAGAAATTTTTAATCCTTTTTTGGCGATACTACTGGGGATCAAACGTGGTACCTTCACACTGACCTATACCCCTGCCTCAGCCTCCCAGAACGCTGGGATTATAGGTGTGCCTCACCTACCACAACCAGCTTCTCAATCTTACTTTATTTTTGTACCAAGGATCAAACTCGGGTCCTTGCGCTTACGCAGCAGGTGGCAGAAACCACTGAGCTAAATCCCCAGCCCTCAATCTTACTTTTAAGTATCAGGACACTAAAGTCCAAAGTAACTCACAAAGACCTTGACAGCTTGTTAAAAGACAAAACACAGAAGGGAGAGGAGCTGGCATTCTCTCGGCTGGGCTTGAGCAGGTCTCCTGAGCTCCTCCCCGTGCTGCCCTGCCTGGCAGGAACGACAGCCTGCATCCCACGGATCCACCCCAGAGGACGGGGCGGCTTTCTGTGAGGAGCGTGTGCATGTGGCTTACTTTCGGCATGGAGTGCTGCACACAGGCGGCTCCACAGCGCACCTGGCATGGAACGCCAGTGGCTCTCACTTCCTTCGGCGTCCCTCCGTGTGAGAGCTATTTCATTCCTTGGGGACTACAGGGATCCAATCATGGTGAAGAACGAATCCCAGCCCTGAGCCCCTGCCTTGGTTTTCAGACACTGCCCGATTCTTTCATTTCAACCTTGCTTTGGGTGCCACTGTACGGAGACCTCAGGAAGGGCTCCCTGAAGTGGGGAGCCCCACTTGGAGCCCCAGTTTGGTGTCACTGCAGCGGGGAAGAGAGAGGAGTCAGTTCCTCTCTGAATGTGAACGTCAGTAGTCCTGGCCTGTTTTATCATGCACAGGGGAGGCACAGCACTCCCGGCAGAAGGAGTTCATGCAGGTTCAAAGGGGTTTATTGGGAAAAAGCCAGGAAGTCAAGAAACCAACAAATTCAAGTTCTGCCCGGGCTCTCCATGGAAACGCGAGGCTGTTTAGCTGGTGGGAACAATGTCGCTCTAAGCGAGCTGAGCCTCCGATTCACCACACGCCTGGGCTTCTCCAGTTTTCCAGAAGGAAGCCAACTGTGCCATGGGGAGAAGGCTCGGGGCACTGGGACTGAGGTGGAAGAGCAGAGTACAAGAGGCCCAAGTCCCTTATTTGTGCACTGGAAAACGAGACCTGTTTCTGGAACCTGAGATTGCTAGCTTAAAAAATAAGGTCTGTGGGGCAGAGGTGATGATGGGCGTGGCCAGGACACATCTGCGGGGCTCTGTGACCCCGAGCAGGTGAGGAGCTGGGGCTCGGCTACTCCACCGGTCGGCCCAGGGACTTCTCAGTCACAGCCTTTCTTGGCCTGGGCATCCCGCCGTGCTCGGTACTCTCTGCTGCCTTCACGTCTGACATTCTGGGCTCCTAACTTCTCAACCTGTAATCCCAGCTCTCAGGAGGCTGAGGCAGGAGGATCACTGGGAGTTCTCAGCCAGCCTGGGTTACATAGTGAGTTCAAGGCCAGCCTGGACTACATAGCGAGACCCTGTTTAATCCCCTTTCCCCCATCAACCTTCACAGCTCAGCAGAGTTGCTTTGATGGTCAATCTTCCCTGTGCCTCCTGGACAGGGCAGAGACAAGGGCAGAAAATGACGGGGCAACGTGTGTGCTCTTGTTGGTCCCCAAAAGTACGCAGCTGGGGAAGAGCCCCCTAATATGGGGGGGTTCTAATCCAGGGGTGCTATGACCTTGAGCTCCACCCCTAGCTGCTTTGATTTTGGAACAGTGTTTTGCTAAGTTGCACTGGGAAGCCTCCTGCTTCAGCCTCCCAGTGCTAACGCACCAGCTGGAGAGGTCTGATGCTCACTCAGGGTGGCAGGACCTAAGCGGATGCTGTTTTATGGGGGACAAGCAGGGTGGCAGGTGGGAGCCGAAGAGGCTGAGTGAACCTCTATGGAGAAGACCTGCAAGCACCCGCACATCCCAAGGCCACCTGGCTCAGGTCTGGGTGCACCTTCTGGGGAACCATGGATAATGGAAGCCCAAGCAGGGGCAGAGGGGGTGGGGGGCACCCTCCCAGTGGCCTGACCCTCGTCCACCTGCAGGGCAGCGGCTGTCTTACCGTGGTCACTTTCTGTCCCCGACCGGCCCCAGTAGCGCCGCCTCCTCTCGGGGCTGTGTGCGTGGCGCTCCATGACGGCGGCTATGAAGCGTGTGTTGCTGACTGCGGGACCAAGGATAGCAAGTCGTCACCCTCCACAGCCCATTCCCAGCCCTGCTGCCAGCCCTGTGGGGAAGCAGGGCTCTTCCCTGAGCTGAGTCCGCTGGACAAGGGGCAGGCGTTTGCACATCTTCCTCCTGGGAGACACCGGGTTGGAGGGGGAGGTGCCGGGGAAGGGCCAAAGCTTTGGGCCAAAGCGCTTAAAGCAAAATCAAAACTACATTTACAAAATCTTGCGATTTTCTAAAGCAAAGCAAAGCACTGTTCCCAAGGAGAAAGGGAGGGAAAAGCCCGCCGCCGTGCCAAGGCTTCTTAAATTTTAATAGGAGCCAGAAGGACACAGCACCTCCTGGGGCCCAGCCCCTGCGGACCGCACGGGCAGCTGCTACTCACTGATCCCTCGGTCCTCGTGACTGTCATCGTCTCTTTCATCTCTGTCGTTCTCCAGGTTGGACATACGCACTGACATTTCTGCCACCGTTGGAGAGAAGCGTGGTTATCTCATCACACAGACCGCCCGCCCGATCACCCCGCCGAGGCTGTTGGACACAGGTGACAGCGGCCCACGGGAGCCAGTGGGGCTGCGGTGCAGCTTGGGGCGGGTGTCAGCCTGGGCCCCCACAAGGCCCAAACCCAACAGGACCAGAAACAGGTGACTCCCAGCTGGCACTCCTTCCTGATTTTAGAGGAGGAAGCAGACTCCAAGGAGAAAGGAAGAGGAAAACCAAGAGCACCTGCTGCCAAGTTCTGAAGGGGGAGAGGAGCAGACAGGAGGGCAGAATAGAAACGGAAATGGAAACACAAACGGGGCCTCGGACCGGACTGGTTAACACCGGGCAGGGCATGGGGCTGTCACCATCCCCGCCCCAAGGCCACGCGGAGGAAGCTGGCCTGGCTGGGTCTCAGGGTCAGCCTGGAGCTGCCCAGCTTCCGGGAGGACGGCCAGCTGCTGCCAAGTGCAGACAGCTCGCCGAGGTCAGGAGCACATGGGACTCACTCTGTCCTCGACTCCAGCCTGTCACTCACACGTGCATGCGTGCGTGTGCACACAGGGACAGGACTGCAGCCCTGGCAGGGACGACTGGGCCACCTTGGGCTGGCCTGGCTTTTGGGCCGGTGAGGGCAGTGCCCGGCCCTGGCTGGCGTAGGACAGGGCCTGGGGCGGGGAGAGGCTGGCTGAAGGAAGACACCTGGAGGTTTCAGGATCAGGAGGGGCTTGTGGATTTACATGGTAAACAGAGGCTCTGGCGCCTCCTGGGATGACACCAGTGAAGCTGAGGAGGCAGCCTGATCTGATCTTTCTTTTTTTCATTTTTGTTTGTTTTCTGAGACAAGGTCTTGATATGTAGTTCAGGCTGATCCTCCTGCCTCAGCCTCCTGAGTGCTGGGATTACAGGCGTGTACAACAAGGCCCGGTTACTCTTATTTCTTAGAGGTTTAAACAACTGGCCAGTGTCCTTGTTGCCTGGGGATGACCGAGTGGTGGCTGCTGCCAGGCCAGGTGAGGCGTGAGTGTCCGCTCTGCACACACCTTGGGCCGCCAGAGGCGACATGTGCTGGTGGCTGCGGCGGTGGATCTGGTGGCGGTAGGCGTACACGGCCAGGACCAGCACCATGATGCAGCCCATGATGCCCCCGGCCACGGGCCCCACGGGTGCGCTCTTGATCATGTTCAGCGTGATCACCTCGTCACCTTGAGCGAAAAGACAGACGTCCCTTAGGGCCTGAGGGGAGCAGTGGGCGGGGCCTGGGTGGGCCAGGACAAAGACCTGGGGGCGGCGCTGGGGGCTTCATGCAGGCCCTGGCCCCCAACAGCGGGGAAGGCTGCACGTGCTTGGGTGAAGGTCACCAACACAAGGCGCTCCGTGCTCCAGCACGCTTGTGCCCGGGGCACAAATGCCTCTTGGAGAAGGGAACCCAGCTCCGGTGTCAGTCGCCCACCTGCTGAAATGTGGGGTGCCAGGAGCCCTAATTCTGCGTCAGACCGACTGTGGGGCTCGGGTTCCCTCTGGGACACGGGACACACTGCCCAGCCCAGGCGGCAGACATCAGAACCACGGTGGAGCTGGTCCCGGGCTCTCCCCGATTTGGACCCAGCGGGGATGCTCTGTATCTGCATCCTCGGATGGTGTGCGGGTGCGGGTGGCCAGAGCTGCAGCCCCAGCCGGCTCGGGATCTGACTGGAGCAGGAACTGCCGAGCTGCACGGCGGCCCGCACAGTGACCTAGCTATGTCCATCCCACCGGACGGCGAGGAGCAGCATCTCCTGATGGCAGGAAGAAGTTAGGACTGGGCGCTGGCTGTGGGAAGACACTGGAAAGCATCTAGTGACGGTCCCAGCTCCCTGGCGCCCAATACCAGGGGCGTCCCTGTCCCCTGCCCAAACTGCAGTCCCACTGTGGGCAGCTCTGACGTCCGCGCCTCCCAAGGCCCTGGGCCCTGCCGTGGGGCTCAAGGGTCCCGCTGGGGAAGCGTGAGGGGAGCAGAGGGGGCAGTGGCAGCGGGAAAAGGGACATTGCCGGTCACGTGCAGTTGCTGGCCCTGCGCCTGTGCTCAGAACCGGCACTGCAGGCACGGACCCCAGGGAGGGACGGCACCAGCTGTCCCAGCGGTGGCCAGCCGCCCTGGAAGCAGACCGCCGGCCCTGGTTTTCTAAGGCCATGAGCAAAGGGCTTGGGAGTCAGCAGGGGCGACCACGACTCGGCCCAGAGCGGGGAGCAGTCTCGGCAGCAGAGCTGCTCCGGGCCCCGGCGTACCTATGGCTCCCATGTCGTTCCTGTACGGGCTCTTGGCCCCCACGATGCCCCCGAAGCACTCCTTCTGCGGGGCGCAGTAGGACCTGTCCAGCTGGGTCTTGCCGTCGCTGTCCACCACACACCACTCGCAGTCCAGCACCCCGAAGCAGTCCCTGCGGGGAGAACACGTGTTCCCGAGCGCGGGTGCTGACCCGCAGCGTTGGGTCCTCGGCACGGGCTCCGGGGTCCCAGGGACAGCGAGGGACCCTGCCCCGGGCAATTAGAGGATGGCACCCACGGGGACCAGCACCGCGCTGTTCAAGAGAGCCTAACCCCAAGTGGAAACGGCCCGAGGTTTGTGGCTCTGGGGCTGACATCCTCAGGCGTGTGGGCGTCACTGTGAGAGAGGGAGGAGACGCGGTGGAATCAGCTCGGGCACGGTGAGGACAGCGAGGACAGATTCCACACCGCCCGGCTCTCAGTGTGCCTGATATGTTCTGTGCACGGTCTGAGGGCTGCTCTGCCCTCCACCGAAGAACACACCGTGCCCAGTGTGGTGGTGCGCGCCTGCAATCTCAGCACTTGGGAGGCTGAGGCGGGAGAAGCACCCTGAGTTGGTGGCCAGCCTGAATTACACAGTGAACCCTGTTTCAAATGACAACACCCCCACACCAGGAGGTCTGGCTGTCTCCTCTGTGCTTGCGTTCTGCTTTACCGAAGGGCTGTGGAAACCCAATCCAGACCTGGAAGGCCGTGTGGCCTCAGGAAGAGGAGCTGCTAGTGGGGGGCTCAGTGGGGTGTGCCCCCGCCCGGTGCCCCGGCCACCCCTGGCTGCTCACCCGCTCTCCAGCCTCTGGCTGCACCTGCTGTTGACACACTGGTGCAGGGCATCCTGCAGGCTGGGGTCGATGGCTGTGTATGTCACCGGCTCCTGGTGGACCTCACAGCTCGGATTCCTGTGCAGAGGGGAGTCCCAGGGGTCAGGGCTGGCCTCGCCAGGGCCACAGTGAGGGGCTGAGTCCTGGCTCTGCCACTCACCAGCCCGTGCCAGTGACCCACATCCTCTGAACTCCTTTACAGTGGACCCTTGAGTCACAACTGGCCCGACAGATGAACAACTTGGGTTATGACCAGAATTTTAGTTTTAGCTTATGAACAAAGTCTTGAGTTATGACCCGAATGCTGGCTGCTTGTGCTTCCAGATGGCCTCAGATACAGATTTAACCCTTAAAGAGCTCTGGAAGGAGCAGGACAGCATCCTTCCTGTGTGGGGCTCACTGGGAAATCCCGGGCCAGTGTCTCTCTCAGGACACTGAGATCTGCCTGTGTGCGGGAGAGACTGTGAAGGTTGTGTAGAGGAGCCTGAGCCTCCACTGACCAACCTGAGTTACAACCAGTACTCAGAACGGGTTGAGTTCGTAAGTCAAGGGGCCACTGTATTTATGTAACATCCGTGTGAGAATTCATTCACATTTGACACTGCAGAGCACATAAAACCGACTGGCACCTCCGTGCTCAACCTTACGGTCCTCGGGTAGCCACTATGAACAGCTGAGCGCAGGTGCTTTCAGACAATTTCTCTACGCCCAAACATGCATGCACCGTGTTCATACACAACACTCTTTCTTGTAAGTTCTAGGGAAGGGATCTGCCACAATTTATTGCCCTGGTCTTAATATAAACAAATGATGCTGCATCCCATGAGTGCAAGGTTCCCGCATGCCTGTCACAAGCTAAGTGGAAGGCTTGGATACGTGGCAGCCGCTTCACAAATGCCTGTGATATTCTTACTGAGTGGGTGTGCGATGCTCTTCACACTTCCACAGCATTTCCACTTAAACATCACCGCTGACACCACTGGACCGGCCAGGGCACAGGTCCTTCCTTGGAAGGAGTCGTTTTTGTATCCCAACCCAAAGTGAATCTGCAGCAGGGTCCATGCAGTTTGGCACACGCACATGCACAGGTGCGTGGGGACTGTGTGCACATGTGCACACCTACGCACACACATGCGCCTGTGTTTACCGGCTCTCCGCGTGGGTGAGGTTGCCAGTACACTCGTTGACCTCTAGGGGGCACTCACACGGACATTCGCATTCGTTTTGTTCCATCCTGCAAGCAAGAGGCAGTTACTAGGCAGAGGGATAAGGACTACTGTACACGTGTCAGGAAGGAAAATAAAGAAGGCTTGGCAGATACAAATGACAGTCAAAATAAAGAAGTCACGAGCAAAGGGTTAATTAAATGCACACGTGGCTCCACCCATCCCCGTGGACAGCAGGACACAGAGGACAACCTGCTTTGAGCCTCCCTTTGAGCGGGGCTCCATTCCCTCCGACACCCCTATGCCGTGCTTCTGCAGAGGCTGCCTGCAGGGCCTGCATCAGTGAGACTGTTGACCAGCGAGGTGGTGAGCGGAGCGCATGGCCCATTGCCACCTACCGGTGGCAGTTGAGGCAGAGCCGGTCCACCATGCTACAGGCACAGAAGGCAAGTGAGTCACACGTCTCGTTGACGATGCCGACGAATGCGTTGGTGCCCGGGATCCTCGCCAGTCTGTACTTGGAGCAGTGGCTGCCGTGCACGAGGTTGGTCAGGTCCCCCTGCAGAGCAGGAAGTGTCAGGGTGACAGCGATGCGTAGACGCAGCCCCAAATCCCAAGCATCAGCCAAAAGCAGCCAAATGAAACCGTTTCCGCTGAGAGAGGTAGTAACCAGTCATCGCTGCAATGTGGGGAAAATTACTCGTAATCTCACTGAGCAGAGAGAATTCCCTTTAATTGTGTATATGTTATAGTCTTTTATCTGGGCTTATACAAACATAAATTTTTATAGCTGATGCTTCTTATAATCTGCTTTTGAAAAATGTAACAATGTACCATAAAAATGAAAACTTTAAGAAGAAGAGAAAGATAATTTTCAAGTAAGGGACAGTTTAAAATTTATTCAAAGACAAACAACCACAAAACACGCACTGCTTTCCCTCGGTTAACAAGCCTTTCTCCCTTCTGGAATACTAAAATTATTTAAAAGCCAAGGCCTCTTTAAGGGGTTAATTTGCTGCTCCCAGAATACTTAAACAATCCAACTAAAGCAAGTATCCTTCAGCCTATAACAAGCAAAGGTGACAGCCTCTTGACGAATTTGTTCACTGTATGCAGAAACCAAAGATGCAAACGCAGAGCTGCGAGGTTCTGTGTCGCTATCTTTTGCGTGTGTCATCTTTCCTGGGAAAATCTCTTAACCCCCTGCTTGCTTCTGTGCTGTTGATCTCTTAGGTATGTGTGAGGTGGGGACAGACAAACTCAGAGAGCTGTGGCACTGGATGGGTTCCTTCCAGTCCAAGTCCCTGTTGAGATATCTCAGGCCACTAAGAAATTATTTTAATTCACATCCAACTAAAACTTGTCTTTCTGAAACACTTCTACTCCAGATTCCTGGTTTTGTCTGTCAGAGACTCCAGAAACAATACAAGGTGTGATGGGAAAATGTGATGTACTTAAATAAAAAACAAGTTATTGCAGTAAAAGACACATTCCCATTTACCCTCAAAATCCTCCCCTGCACTTGGAACACATGCGTCCCATCCTTCTCACTGCTTCCTGCAGCGGCTCTGGAGTCTTTCCTGAGGGTTTAGTTGCGCTGTCCTGGCTGCCTCGATGTCTCGAGTCCATTCAAAACATTACCCTTTCTTGGTCATTTTGACTTTGTGCAAGAGAGCCGGAAGTCGTGCTGTGCCAGATCCGGAGAATAAGGCGAATGCGGGCACAGCGTTGTTGGCACCACCTGTTTTTCTGCTATGGTACTCAGCAGCAGCAGGATTCACTGTCTTTTTTTTTTCACACATTGTAAAGACACTCAGGGAAGAGGACTGCAGAGCTGCTGTAGAACGTGGCGAGAACCATGGGGATAAGTGTGTTCAGACCAAGGGGGAGGAGTCTGAGGCCTATTAATGGCAGTGTGTCTTTTGCCTTAAAGGAATTTAACATTCACTGTATGTTTGACCACCCTTGTAGCAGAAATGGTGGCAGACACATGGAATGAGCCAGATTCTCACGTGGCCACTTTAGCAGCTTCCCTGCTAAATGCCTGAGTGTCCCCTTTGAAGACAGCGTCGTTGCTCAGGATGCAGGGTGGATCTGAAGTGGGCCATGGAGACTTCCCTGCTTTGGAGACCTGATTCCATTCATGTATTCATTTTTTATTTTTTGGTACTGGGGATCGAACTCGGGTCCTTGCACTTGCACACCAGGCGGTGAAACCACTGGGCTACATCCCCGGGGATGTATTCCTTTTTCAATCATCTTCCACCGGACAACTGCTGTCTGCCACCGACTTTGTGACAGTCGGTTTAGGGTTTTCAATTGATCCCAGTGCACCCTTGAAACTGGTTACACATTAGGTGACCACACAAACACCATTCTAAATTATAAAAACAAAGGCTTCCTGTGAGTAATTTCCAAATGGTAGTTCTGTCGTTCCCCATTTTGGATCTTTCTCAATTAAAGATTTACAAATTAATAGGAATGTCTTCAGGATCTCCAACCACAACCAGGTAAATTCAGCAGGAGCTCAAGTTCTGCTGAGTAGCTAAGCTGGAACAAGGAATTCTTTTCAGAGGATCTCCACGACAGTCCCCATACCAGGGGTGTGACCACGCGCTGGCCTCCCTTGGCCTTAGGAATGGAGGCAGCCAAGGGATGCGAGGGGATCGGGAGGGGCGCAGGGCCACACATGTTTATGTAAGAGTGTGGGGACCGACGTCAGCAGACGGTTCAAAGAGAGGGGGACCTTGTTTCAACAAAGCCCAGACCGCAGGCCAACTGTGAGAATCTAAAGTGGTCCCTCTCTAGTCTGGGCTTTCGAGCCCATAGTCATCAAACCGGGAGCTGGACAAAGTTCCCGTCCCTCCTACCTTCCGGTGATTCGGAGGCAATCAAGTGGCAGGCGTGACACGGGACAGAAGCACCCTCCACTTCCGGTTCTGTAGGGAAGGGCCCGAGCGAGCCAGGGACTCGACTTACCACGAGGCTGGTGTTGAACTTGTAGAACCTCTGCACGGTGCGGTCGCTGAAGCTGTTGCACAGGTTCTTCTTCACGAAGTTGGGGTGGTTCAGGATGTCGTTGGCCACCAGGGGCTCCTGACAAGGCCAAAGAGAAGAGGGGTGAAGGCCATGTGGCAGCCAGCTGCGTGGGCTGCAGGCATGACACCCGCGGCTGTGCACCCAGCGGGTACCTTGTGTGTGATGTGCTGCTGCTCCACTGGCGCGTGTCCCTTGGGGTCGATGAGAGTCGGGTGTGCCACCAGGTAGCCCCTGTCCTCCATGATGAAGCATCTGCGAGTAGGCGATGCCATGAGCTGCAGTTTTCACGCAGCACGGCCTTGCAGTGGTGGCCATGAAAACACACTTCACGGGGTGGGGGATCCAGTTCACGTGGCAGGGCCACCGACCGCTGTGGTCCCCCGCGTGGTCCACTGTGTCCCCAGCCCACCCAAGCACATGGACCCTTGCAGAGGACTAACACTGATTATGCCCAAGTCAGGCTGTGAAGAGCTAACCCCACAGTCGGCTCGTTTACAGGAGTGAGTCTGCCCGAAGCCTACGTGCAGAGGTCAGGGTAACTCGCACCCACATTCCGTTCCCACAACTACAACCTTCAGACCAGAAGGGCAATGTTCTAGTTACAACCACATATTTTGTCTATTCCGTTCCTAAATTGAGAATGCTTTGTCTTGTCCTTCATGAGCCTTTTTTACATTAATTTCCATAGAAACCGCACATAGCTCGCCTTTACCCCAATTGATGGCCAATGAGTCAGTGCCTGGGCCTGGCCAGCGCCTTTGTCGGCTGCACCAGCATTGGTCGCCCTGGCCCCGCTTTCTCTCCTAGTTCTGTCTCTCAGTGTGTTTATTTCTCAGGCCTGTGTCGTATACTGGGCAGGTGCGGACTGGACCCTGAGTACAGGGGTCTCCGGCAGACCCTAAAATCTTTGGCAAGGATGTGTAAGCAGAAAGTCTTCTTTTTCAGAGGAAGGAAAACCGGGAAGTAGACTTGAGTATTTATGGGCGTAAAGTTTAAGAGAAATGAAGTTCTTCCTTCCATGGTAAACACACACCAAATACAACACCAGGGCCAGAGACATAGATTTGATGGACACACTAACACGGCTTTCATCCAGTCTTTCTCCTGCTTTAATGTCCTCTCCCGTTACCAGGACCCTGGCGTCCCCACTGAGGGCCAATGTGGAATTCAGCAGTGACACGAAGTGAGGACCATGAGATGGAACCAGGGAAGCTAGTTTTAAAAGCAGGCTGTGTTAAATCAAGGGAACGCCCTTGCTTTGATTAGACTCCGGCTTCTGAAATGCAGGAGGCAAAGACTTTTAGTTCCATGAGCCTCTTTCTGGGGAAATGTGAAAGGAGCCATCTGAGCTGCTGAAATCTCACACACTCTGGCTTAATGACTAAGTTAACATCAAAAGTACTACCCAAGAGTACCCTCTGGTCGTTCTATTACCAAAGATATCAGAAGCCTCTAATTACTGACTTCTAGGGAAACAGGGTTTTTGATGCCAGGTGCCAGCCACGGCCCTTGTTATGTGCTGTATTTTTCCAAATCATAAACAGCATGCATCTTAATAAAGGGAAAGAAAATCCTCCCAAACCTAAATAGAATACTCAGGCCATAAACTCAATTAATTTCCCCCTTCCCTTCTTTCCTTTATGTTCTCCCATACTTCGCTTTTTTTTTTTTTTGGTACCGGAGATCGAACTCGGGACCTTGCGCTTGTGAGGCAGGTGCCGGAACCACTGAACTAAATCCCCAGCCCTCCTTCCTTCATGTTCTGAGGAAGGCTCTCACTTCTCCAAGTCAGCCTTGAAGTTTGTAGCCCAGACTGTCCTCGAACTTGCAGTCCTCCTGCCTCAGCCTCCTGAGTTCTGGGATAACAGACATGCACCGCCACACCCAGTTTCAGTTTTGTGTCCTGACTGTGGCTCTGTGGCTGCCATTTGGCTGGAGTTGCTCGACATCTACTACCTCTCACTTTGTCCGTGGATGGGCATCGGTGACCTCTGGGGGCTTACCTTATTTTGTTGCCTCCATCTTGGTTACAGACCGGCAAGAGGTCCATGAGAACCTTGTAGAAGTATCTAAGTGTGAAATCAATGCCCATCACCGCCACAGTGTGCCCGGAAGACAGCTGCGTGCTTCACGTGGAAAGAGAACAAGAGGCAGGGCTTATTCATGGGTAAAGGCAAGTTCAGTCACAGGGACCTGTATGGTCCCAGAGTCATTCCCGCAGCTCCTCCCCCTTTCTCACGCCCACAGACTAAGCTACATTTGTGATTGGTGGTGGGGTGGGGCCTGAACCCAGACTTAACCCTTCAAACTGAGCTTAACCCCCATAACATTTTGAGATGGCATCTCGGTACACTGCCTGGGCTGGGCTCGAATCTGCAATCTTCTTCTCTCAGCTTCCCAGAGTGCTGGGATTACAGGCCTGGCTTCAATGACTGATTTAATGTTCACTCGGGGTTTTGTGAGCAAAAACACCAAAACCAAAGTATGGCTTCCCGACAGGACCAGCCCCAAACATGGGCAGCTGTGGAACTAGCCGGTCACCTGTGCTGGTCACTCAGAAAGTGGCTGGATTGTTTGGCAGAAATCTGGAGACAAGTTACCAGAGCGGGCAGTGGAAGCCTCGCTACTACAACTTCCAGCAGTTCTCTGGGACAAGGACCCGAGCCACCCCCATTCCCTGCTTTTGAGATCCGGGACCGCTGATCTCACAAAGCCCAGCTGACTGGCAAAGGCCACCCAAGACTTCGTCTAGTTTTCTTTCCACAACTTGAGGGCGGACTCCGCAAAGCACAGTGCGTCAGTGAGGCAGGGCACCTGCTTCATAAACCTGTTACTGGGACTAAGTGAGACATGTGTTTCCAGTGCTTCGCAAGCTGCCCACAACCCAGCAAGCCCAGGAGGGAGTCACTCAGTGGAGAACAGCAGCGAGGCGGGACCCCGGCCTGGCAGGGGATGAATCTGTCCCTCTTTTAGAGAAAATGCTCTTCAAGAGACAGCCAGCCATGCATTGCAGGAATCGACTCTCTTCCATGGGGAACTCTGGCTCTCTGTGACCCATGTCTCCCCACGTGGGTCTTAAGAGCCACCACTTGTTGGCTTCTGCCTGTTGGACGTCTGTCTACAGAAAACACCAAATCCTTAAGTATCACTCCCGCCGCCCTACAAGGATTGGGAAGATGAGGCCTTGGCCGGTGTCACACTGCGGGTAACCAGTGACGCAGGGACGGGACGCAGTGTCTCCAACTCCAATGCACACTTTCCCAGCTGCGAGGCGTGTAGGGTTTCCACGAAGTTCTATGCATTTAATTTCCTATGATGGTGCTGAGAAGGAATCATAGCTCTTAATTTGGGAAGGAAAACAATCAGCCTTAGAATAGTTGCCAGGTTTAAGAGAGATGACCAGATCACCTTTGTGGCACGGAGAGCAGAACCTGGACCTGGCTCTTTCTACGGCACTATAGCTGCCTCCGTGGAAAACACACCTCAGACATCTGGAAGAAGTTAATTCTGTTTCTGAACTCCCTGGACATGGCTGTTCTCTGCCCCAGAATGGTCACTCTGCCGAGGGGACAGGAGGCAGCGTGCCCTGTGGGTCCACTCACATTTTCATCTGCATTTCAGATAGCTGTATGATTGCCACAGCAACTGATAAAGAATTTCATGGAAAAATCCAACCAAACCTACATTTCCATCAGACCAGGCTGCCTGCAATACCTGTTAGAGATTTTCTTTTTGGTACCAGGGATCGAACTCAGGACCTTGTGCTTGTGACGCAGGTGGTGCAAACACTGAGCCAATAAATCCCTGGCCCTCCTGTTAAGAGATTTTCACTGCCAAAAATAAAACACCAGAACATGTGACCATCCCTTTAATTAATGCCTGCTCAGCATCACCAGCAGCATTAGCTCTCCAAGAACGCGAAGCTTCCAGAAGGGTCGTGACAGAGCCACTGTGAGCAACAGGTCAGTGAGGACCGGGTTAGAAAGCCCCCCTAACTCGAGCTGAACATCAGCATAAGCTCTCTCTTCAGACCTCTGCAAACCCCTGTGTAAAGCAGGAACAGCTCGACAACAAAAATAACTGCCATGTACTTGGGAGGTGACACGGTTCCATTTCACGTGACTCATCTCCGATTCCTGTCAAGCTGATTCCACAAGGACACGGATACCTCTGCTTTACATATGAGGCCCAGAGGGCTCCTGGGACACAAAAATGATAAAAGCAAGCCTGACTGGGCCCTTACCATGTACCAGGTATTGTTCTAAGAGCTTCACGTTTATTGTTTTAGTCCCTCAGATAATCATTTCAAATAGCTCCACAGCCCTCTTTCCTTGGTGAGGAAACAAACGAGAAAAGTCTCGCTTACAGTCCTGCAAACAACCAGCGAGACTTGTCTTCGGAGGGGCTGGGTCCCGAGCTGCCACACAGCCCTAACTCACCAGAAGTCATTTGACAAGCAGTAAGAGCTACCCCTCAGTCCACCATCAAAACCACTGCTGCTCTGAGAACCGGAAGAGGTAGAGGGCTCGAGGCCTCAACTCCACTGAATGCAAAATGGACAGCTTTAAGCTTTCAACGGTAACGTCGCACTCAGCTCAGCAAAGTGGTCAAAGGCCGAGGCCAGGAACTGATATCGAGCAGGACAGAAGCAGATACCTGTTCTGGGGAGCACAGGCTAGGGGTTGACTCAAGAGTCCAGGGGTCACACTGCCACCCTGCTTTTGTTAAACCCATGCAAGTCAAAGACGCAATGGAAAGGTAACCGGAAAGTGGGTCCGACACCAAGGTTTTCCGATTTGAAGACTTATTCTGCTTCATGTGACTGACACCAGAAACATCTGTGAATGAACAAGAATTCTGCGACTCACCCAGACCCTAAGAAAAACACACGCATGTCCCTACACAAGTGTGCAAATCCACCCCCGGCCCCCTGAACCCCAAGTGTGCGCGGGAGGGAAACAGCTCCTGGTGGCGGAGACAAGGGCGCGGGAGACGAAGGTAACCAGGGTTCCTATTTCCCTCGCTTTTCATTATATTGAAAGTCAAAGTATAAATAAAAAGCAGAATAAAAGATCACAGGAAAAGGAGATGGGTCTTTTGGAAAACGGAAGGAGACCAAGACATGGAGGGAGGGAGAGCAAGGGGCCTAAGAAGAATGAAGACGCGCGGTGTCCACGCACCGACTCCCCACGGGGAGTGGGATCATCACACACAGCAAGCACGGGCTCATAAGAAAATTAAAACTGGCAAAAAAAGGAGCCCAGCTCTGGTCCCTGGCATCGCCCTCCAAGACCCGGGGATGAGGTTCATGCCAAGAAACAGCCTCATTCTCTCTTCCTCAACGGATTAGAACCCAAGCAGGGCAGGGCAGCCTCACCGAGTGTACGCCCCATAGTGGGCTGTCAGGGAGGGTCTCTTCGGGATGAGCCGAGCTTTTCTGTAAGCCAACTATTATACCACAGGCCTAGACACCAGGCCCTGCCAAGGAATCAGCATTCCGCTGCCTGCAAGACCCCGTTTCCATGGAGACGCAGGCCACGCAGGCCGCTTCTCCTGCATACCCCCCAGCTCCTGCCCCAGCGCCCCACACCAGAGGAATTCTACTCAACACAGCCCCTCAGCACTCAGGGGCCAGCAGGGCAGTGAGTCACACCTGGGCAGTGTGACCGCCGAAGCCTCAAAGTGCGGGAATATAACGCACTCAACTGTATTACAGTGAGAGTGACGTCATACGGCGTTCCGGGGAAAATCAATTTCCAAAAAGCCTGTTTATTTGTCAAGAGACAGTTTCCAGGACAAATTAAAAAAGGAACAACTCACGTAATTCTAAAGACTTAGGCCCATATACAAGAGTGGTATCTCTTTCTTCATCACAGATGCTCTTGGCTTGGAAGAACTCAGGCAGCCAAAGCTCCCAGGCTCCTGCTGCTGCGTCTTCCCTCAGCTGAAAGAGGCCTTCTGCGAACGATCTCCGGTCGCCAGGGTGGGTCCTCCCCTCCTCCCAGCTGCCACACAGTTCACAAGCACCAGGCTCAGCTTGTGGGATAACCTGAGCCACATTTGCCCCCATCCACAGGCTGCAGGAGGAAGCTTGGCGCCTCCTATTCTACTTGAGTTTGAAAAATATCCCTGATGGATCTGCAATGACTAAGAAAATCAGATAAAATTTTACCTGGAGGAATGAATTGTGTGGCTGATAGTCACGACATAGCCGGCTCCTCCGACATCCAGGTAAGGGCCAGTCAGCGAAATCAACCCTGGGTTCGCCACTGCATGGAGATACCTAGAGGGGACACAGCCAGGCTGGAGGGGCACACGACTGCAGGCAGTGCCCAGGGAAGGTGACCCGGTGACTCCAAACAGTCATCCTAAACTGTGCGTCTGTGATATGGAAATTCAAGGTCTCTTACTTTTTGTATCTGACTGTAGCATCAGCACAAGAGGTTAAGGGAAGGTGAAATTCCTTCTTTTTAAAAGAGATACTAAACTCACTGTGGGCCTGAGGGTTACTAAGATCTGCAGTACAGAGGTTTGACAGGCTGAAATAAGAAAGGGGCTAATGAATGAGGCAGAGATGGATGCACCTGGCTCCCTTTTATTTTTGAAAACCAGACTAAAATAAGTTACAGAAGTAAAAGAATATTTCTGAACTTTTATGTGCAGGTCATACATGAGCTACAATCTGATGCCAGGACCACGTGATGCAAGCTGCAGTCTGTCCACTAAGGAGGTCATGCCACGCACAGGGTAGGAATCAAAGAGGCCACGAAGACTCGCCGGGCCAGGTGTAAAGCAGTTCAGTCTCCCAACTTCCACGCAGAGACAGAAACTTTGTAGGCAGAGAAAATCCACCCAGATGTTGGTAATGCTACAGCGAAGAACGACTGGGAACAATCCCGCCCCCAGGGAGCGCCTTCTGTGACATGATCTCGGAAGGTGAGAGGCTGTGTGTTCGCACCGTGTCCCCAGGGCAGGGCAGCCCCGACAATGGGGCCCCTCAGACTCACCACTGTCTCCGAGTGGGATCGAAGGCTTTGTCCATGAGGGAGCCAGGGTAAATTCTGAGGACGCCGTTCGGTGTTGCTATGTAACGGCGGACAATGTAAGTGCTCAGACTGCTCATTTCCATTTGTGCCATCCATTCATCTGGGACGTGGCTGGTCGCCATTACTTCATTTCGGACAGAGAACTGGGAACAAAGGAGGACACGGCGGGGCTCCGTGAAAACTCCCATGAAAAGAGCGAGCGGCTGGCTGGGCCGCCAGGGCTGTCTCCCAGAGAGAGAAGCCAAGAGCAATTACTTCTGAAAAATCCTCCATGGCAGATGGACGCAGCCAGACTCGGGGAAGACAAAGGCTCCCAGAAATAAGTGGTGACTGAGGGGTCACCTCGCCGGACCTCTGGGTCTAAGCAGAAAAGTCCCATGGGGAACACGAGAGACGCCTCGCCCACCCACTCGAGTTCATCCCCACAGCAGCAGGGCCTCGTCTTTCCCTGGGAAAAGCAGGGCGGGAAGGTCTCTTGTCTCGAAGCTGCACCCCTACCCTGGAAACCCCAACCCGATCCCTCTTTCCCCAGGCCCAAGGTCATGCTGTCCGGCCTCCACCATCTCTGCTTCTCCTAAGGTCCCCACCAGGGCCCGAGCCGCACTCACCTTGAGCCCCGGGTTGGCAATGAGGCGGGTGTTGTCGCTCAGGTAGGCGGTGTAGTGCTCCACCATGCGCTTGGTCTCAGGCTGGCTGAGGTGCTCATAGGGGGACGAAAAGCTGCCAGCCGAGAGCATGACGGTGGGACTCTCTGAAAGACAGGCGACAAGCAGGCCTGGAACAGAGGGCCCAGCCAGGCCCCGCAAAGTGCGATGCCAGCGCTCGCCCTGCTGGAGCTCGGTCCTGCGAGGGAGGCAGGTGCCCTCGATCTACAGTTGCACCGTGGGCTCCCTGGACGAGGACGCCTCGTGTGATGGGAGGCGGACCCAGGACAGTTTCTCACCCACAGAGCAGGGGAAATAATGGCACCGACCGACAGTGACGGTGAATCCGCATCACAAGCATGGAGTGTGGGGCACACGCAAGTGCTGAGGAAGTGACGGCCGTCAGGCTGCACGCCAGCAACCTGAGGAGTGTTATTTAGGAGAAGGAAGAGGGAGCAGAGGCATCAGTGCAAACATCAAACTCAAGTATGGCACTTTTGCCGGGGATGTAGCTCAGTGGTGCTGTCGCCTACCTCGCAAGCGTAAGGTCCAGAGTTCGATCCCTGGTACCAAAAAAGCCCCCCCAAAACCAAAAAAACAAATCAAGTATGATGCTTGTGTGGCAGTGGTGCAGCCGAGCACAAACCGAAGCGTGCGCTGCCGGTCCTTGAGGTACTCACAGCTACTCTTGTCCTGTCTCACAGAGAGGCGCAGTTCCCTATTTAAGAAACAAAACCAGGAAATCTTTTCGGGATTTCTACTGTTCAATCTTGCTGTGTTTTAAAAAAGAACTAGAAAGCACCATCTCATTTCAACTGAGGGTCATTTTTGATTCCTTTTGTCCATTCTCCCCCATGGTGTCTTGTTTTCTTGTAGCCTGGAGAATTTTTTTTCTGGCACTGGAGATTGGACCCAGGACCTTCACACTGAGCGATATCCCAACCCCTTTAAAATTTTTAAATTTTGACACAAGGTCTCACTAAGTTGCTAAGTTGCCCAGGCAGGGCTGGAATGTGCGCTTCCCCTGCCTCAGGCTCCCAGAGTGCTGGCATGACAGGAGTGCAGCACCACGTTGGCCTAAGCTGGTGGCCCTGACTGTACTTGGGCTAAGACTGAAATACTAGTTGGGGTTTGGGCGTAGCTCAGTAGAGCAGAGGTTGCCTCCGCAGCACCAGACCCTGGGTTTGACCCCTAGCACCAGGAAAACCAACCAACCAACCAAACAAACAAACACATACAACAAAAACCCAAACAAATCTGTAGGAATAGCTTAAAGCCAGGAGCTCAGAGTCCTTCTCAGGAGGAGCCTTCAGTTTATTCTGCCAAGGGCCGCCCTGCAGGAGAGGCTGGGTGGGCAGTGGAAAAATGGTCTAAGCAACACTGACTTCCATGTGGACCAGGCAATTTCCTAAGCCACCCGGGCACAGGACCTCAGCAGGGACCCATCTCTTTTCCGTTCCCCTCAGTCTGCCTGGACCTCGAGACGCATCCACATGGGCGGGACGCAGGAACAAGAGCAGTGGGCTCCTTATTGGAGGCTCCACTTCAGGGGCCTCGGCTCCCTTTCTGTCCCTCTTGCTGGCCCTAAGAAATGCCCTCAGCAGGCAGGCAGAGCGTGCTCGGCAAGCGTGGCCCCCAGGCGCCCTTCCCTGGATTTGCCCATCATCCCTCACTATCCCCATAGTTTTTCTGTGATCTTGAAGGTTTAATCCAGGATTATGCTCACGCTGCGGCTTCTCAGGGTCACTCCACACCACCCAGGCTGCCATGCTCAGGAAACACTGCCTCCTGCCCTGCGATTTCCCGCTGGCTCCCCTGACATCTCCACAGGGCATCACAGGAGCGTGTCGCATGGTGGAGGGAGGCCCGCCAAGTGAGGCTGTCCCCGGCTCGCTAAAGGCTCGCCTGAGATGCGTCAGGAGACGGACAGGGTGGTCCCTGAGCTCCCAGGGCCTCAGACCCAGTCCAGGAAACAAAGGGCCAGGAAGATGGAGGAAAACCACAGGGCAGCGTAGGCGGTCCTCCTGCCTCAGCCTCCTGAGTGCTGGGATTACAGGAATGTGTGTCACCATACCTGGCAGCCTTTCCGAAGTGACAGAGACTGGGGCTTTAGAAAAAGCTGCAATAGTGGGATGGAGCACAGAGGGAGAAGAAATCAAGACACAGGGCCCAAGGCCATGCGGAGGGGTGGTATGGGGAACTGAACCCAGGGCCTTCACACTAAGCTACATCCCCAGCCTTTTTACTGTTTATTTTTGAGACAGTGTTTCATTGAGTAACTCAGTTTGAACTGGGTTTGAACTTGGAATTCTCCTGCCTCAGCTTCCTAGAGTGCTAAGATTATAGGCCTGTGGCACCATGCTTGGCTAGATGATGCACTCGTCTAAAACTTGTCTTTTTTGTGATGCATTTCCACCACCGCTCTTTTTGGGGGGGGGGGGGAGTACTGGGGATTGAACTCAGAACCTTGTGCTTACGAGGTAGGCGGCAGAACCACTGAGCTAAATCCCGGCCCTCCACCACCCCTCTTGAAGGCAGCTCTGGCTTACACATTTAATCCCCCCAAATCTCAAAATCCTCACCATCAAGGAAATCATTTGCCATAACTTCCTCTGTTTTCCATTCTCTTTCTTGTATTTCAGTTATCCTGGATCCTTTCATCACCAACAGACCCTAAGCTGCCCCGCTGACCCTGCCATACTGCCCAGGGTCTCTCCCACCCAGGTGAAAATTCGTGGATGGTGGAAAGAGAGTATGTGCACAGCAGCAGAGGTGATGACCTCTATGGCTTCTGAGTAATCTCAAAGAGGCAGGTAGTGCCATTGAACTGAAATACAATGCAGCCTATGGATGTAATTAAGTTTTCTGGTAACACCCAAAAGAAATATATTACGTTGATAATATATTCATGGAGCTGGAGAAATTGGGTTTCAACTTGCCAAAGACTAAAACTAGACCTATATGTCTCACCATGCACAAACTAAAATCAAAATGGATTAAAGATCTAAATATTAAAACAGAAACGCTGAATCAGCTGGAACAGAGGTTAGGTAGAACTCTTGAAGACATTGGTGTAGGAAAAGATTTTATGAACAAAACCTC